TTAAAAATATATATCATTAAAAAAATAAAATAAAAAATCTTTTTTTTTTTAATGAAGGACCGGTTGGGACCGCCGGCCCATAACTGGTTATAAAGTACCTATACCGGTCCTATCATTTTCGACCGGGACCGAGACCGGGACCGGTTACGCCGGGACCGGTTATGGCCGGTTATGAGAATGGTGAGAACCGATTGGGACCGGCCCGGGACCGATTTTTGGCCATCTCTATCAGGCCATGTACATGTCACCATGTACATTAAGAGGCATATTTTTTTTTGTCAAACAAGATTCACCTCTTAATGAAACTATTAAAAAGGTAAACAGATATACTAAAGAACTGAAATTGGATATATGGGGAACATCAAAACTTGGTTAAAATATTGTCAAGATTCAAGAAACAAGCCTGATTTCACTCCCCCAAAACTCATACTAATTCCAAGAAATCAAAATCAAAGGAAAGGGAAGCCATTAATATGCAGAATCTAAGCTCTTGGAAGCCATTAAAATGCAGAAACTAAGCTTTTGGAAGCCATTAAAATGGCTTCCTTTTCTCCTTCACCTCTACTAACTCTTTGTTTCATAACCCTCTTCTCCATCTTCATCTTCATCTCCACCATCTTAAACCCTAATTTCATATCCAACCTGAACTCATACAACTCTCATGACTTCCCACCTGTTCTACCTTCATCTCTCCATCACCAGATCTCAAACCTGCAAACCCAATTTGGGATCTTGCTAGAAAAGATCCATTCCGAAGAAAAAGAATCATCCAAAACACTTTCAAGATTCTCCGATCAAGTCCTTCGTGTTGCTCTACTTCTAGACAAGCTTTCCGAGAGTCTCTCGGGCTTGCATGGCGACACCACGATCGCCACAAGCGTAACGTATCAAGATTCGACACAACCCGAAGAAACCGAAGCTGAAAACCACGAAGAAGAAGAAGAAGAAAGATTCATCGAATTATCGGAAAAAGTTCTTCATTACACAAACCCTAAACCTAACAGATTACCAGATGGCAAAAAGAACTTCATGGATCTTGAAGCCATTAACCCATCAATCGGCCTCGGGTGCACCCGAATGACTGCGAATCTCGACCGTTACTCGACTTACAAACCCTACAGTAATTGTCCAGACGATTCGGAATTCGCTCAGAAACTTATCTTAAGAGGGTGTGATCCATTGCCAAGAAGGAGATGTTTCTCAAGATCACCTCCAAATTACAACAACCCACTTCCCTTAAGCTCCTCTCTTTGGACTCAACCCAATGATTCTAACATCTTATGGAACCATTACACCTGCAAGAACTACAACTGTCTTATATCAATCGACACGAAGAACAAACAAGGGTTTCATAAATGTGCAGACTGCTTCAATCTTTCCAAAAAAGGATGGGAAGTTCCGTTAACGGATTCTGAATCAGCCGAAATCAGCATCGATGAAGTTCTAGCATTGAAAAGAACCGAGATTCGTATCGGTCTAGATTTTAGCCCGACAACGGGGAGTTTCGCAGCGTTGATGAGGGAAAGAAACGTCACGATTGCTTCGGCTACGCTCAATTTAGGTGCACCGTTTAACGAGGTGATAGCGTTACGAGGGCTGCTCCCTTTATACGTATCTATAGGTTCGAGACTCCCGTTCTTTGATAACACGCTTGATTTGGTTCATTCGACTCTTTTCTTGGACGGGTGGATCGGGTTCGAGCTTCTCGAGTACGTCGTGTTCGATTGGGATCGGGTTCTTAGACCCAAAGGGATGTTGTGGTTGGATAGATTTTTCTGCAAGAAGGAAGACATGAAAGGATACATAAGTGTGATTGAGAAATTGAAGTACAGGAAGGTGTTATGGAGGGTTGTAACAAAGAAAGATAGGGTTGAAAATGAGCTCTTTTTATCTGCAGTTCTTGAAAAGCCTTTGAGAGCTATGTAATGACTTGTATTATTCATTAATGAATAAGAAAATTGTAGCATAAATGAGTAAAGATTTGAGTCATATATAATTAATGATTTTACTATGAATTATTACAACACTTTTAGATATGACACTTTATTTTGAGAAGTCTATTAGGACACTTAGAATTTGAAAGTGTCCTATAAACCCGATTTTGTTGTAGTGACACTAGATCAACATTAATGAAAAACACCAGATGAATTTCCTACTAAAGCGCAATTCACGTGTTCGTTTGAGATTAAAATTGATCGAAGCTCCAAATCACCTTAACTTCTATCCCCACACGATCCTCTGCTTGTTAAAATAGGGTAAAGTTAGAGGTTGTTTGGTTGGTTTTCTATTTAATCCTGTATGGATAAAGATATTGTGCAGATTAATTTGTCTGTATAGACTATGAAAGTTTTTGTTTGGAACAATTTTTCCATAGATAGAAGGAACATGTTTTATAATCGGGAGAACAATTTGGATATCTTTTTGCACATAAAGCTTACCGAATAAGTCAATTTCTATATCATTAAGCAACTATCAAACGATCATATATATATATATCTTAGATGAATAAACTGCGAGTCTCATTTAACTGCTAACGAGCATGTCTCATTTGTGCTTACAGAACAATTTTTTTTTCAAATAGCGTCTTATAAAATAGTTAATACAATAATAAATCCGTTGCAATACTTTTAGATATGACAGTTTTTAAGTTGATCCTATGAATCTAATTCTTATAAAACATTTTATTGGGACGCTTAGAAATTTTAGGCGACCAGATCTAGCATCTTTGCCTCTTTTTGTTCAGGTTGAACGAGATTTGCTCAAACAGTTTCCATTGCGGTCGGTTCTACTGGTGTGATAAGATTGGATTACCAGATACCGCTAAACCAAATACCGTTTCATGTAGAATGAGGGCACAATTCTACTAGAATAGTCATCAAATTGTATTGACAAAAATACCCTTATCATACGTAATAATACAGAAAATCTTTTGGGATCAAAAGTCAAAATGAGGTTAGCTCCTAGTCAAACCTTTTAAACATCAATTGGGCCTATTTGAAAACATTCCAATATTATGGGCTTGACAAGAATTTGAATCTATTGGGCCAATAAGTTAGCCCATGTTGAATTTTTTTTTAAATCTTAAACCGAACACTACAAACAAAATCGGGTTTATAGGACACTCCCTATTTTTAAGCATCCTAATAGACCTCTTTATAAGACTTAATTTATAGGACCAAAAAAATAAAGTGTTCTATTTAAAGGCGTTGTAATAAGTTTATATGACGTTTTTTGATGTCGTAATAAGTTTTTTAGGACACTTTTAATATAAAGCGTTCCATTAGCAACTTTATAGGACACTATTTGAAAAATTGTCCTATAAAAACAAATGTTAATAAAAAAAATGAGTTTATAAGACACTTTCTCAAAGCGTCTTATAAAGTTGCTAATGCGACACTTTGTATTAAAAATGTTCTAAAACTCTTGTCAAGACGCTCAAAAGCGTCATATAAACTTATTACAACACCTTTAGATATGATGCTTTATATTTTGATCCTATAAATTAAGTCCTATAAAACGGTCTATTGGGACGCATAGAGATTGGGGATGTCCTATAAACTCAATTTTGTTGTAGTGCAATTCATTTTCTAAACATTTTATAATGAAAATAGAATTCATAAAATAATAAGTTAGAAAATTTTAAATTTTTATGATTTACACTTCATGAGACGATCGAATATACTCATCGGAAAATGCATTCGAAACTGTGCACAAGCGTTTAGGGATCTGACAAGATATTTGGTGTTCGATGAAATTTTGGTTTTTTATGAAAAAGATGTCGAGTTTTTCGGTTGGATGCAATGATGGAGATCAACGGGCCGTAAGCTAAATAATTGGAATCGGAAATCAGTTCGAAGTTATACATTTTATGGCAAGAAAATAGAATATTGTAAATCAAAAGGTCTTCAACCTAGTAACATACAGTAATCCAACGTTGCTAGAGGTCAAAGGTTCCAACCTCACCAAAGTTGGGAAGTGTGTGAGTTTCATTTGTCGTATACAGACATTATATATACTTCAGGGGGGAAAATTGAATATTATAATGTCATAAGGATCTTTTTTAGAGGACTTGAGAAACCCATTTCCAGAGTTGAATATATGTTTATAAGGTGATGTTTGTTTTTTAAGAGGTGTTGAAATCTGAAGTCTTATTTCATTTCTGATTTATAAGAGGTGGTGTTGAAGTTTGAAACCTGAATCAATAAGACAGTTTGTTTTTGTAAACTGATAAACGTCTGAATTTGTTTAAATTGTCTATTTTACTAATTAAAAATCATATTGTTGAATTTATAGATAAATTTATGCTGTTTCATACATTTATTCATAATCATTATGAAATTTACATCTAAATTATATAATTAACACTCATTTAAACGAAAATATGTCATTAACGGTGTTTAACACATTTACATCATATTAAAATACATTAATCGAGAGAGTTGATGATTGATTTGGTAAGGATCGATTGAGAGAAATGACCGATTAAGGTCAATCGATTGAGAAACGCCGTTGTTGCGGTTTTGAAGAACAATAAGAGGCAAATAAGATGTTGGTTTACCTCTTATCAAATAAGAGAAAAAAAAAACATAAATGCCTCTGAAAAATTGGAAAAAAAAAACACAAACAGTAGAAATAACATTGCATCTTAACGAATCAGACATAAGGTGCTGATAAGAGCTTTTTAATGAAAAACAAACAATGCCTAAGAAGCCAACATGAATTTGGCTTCGTCCCTACTTTTGTTAGAGAAACCCATTTACAAATCAAACGATACGTCTCCTAAGACGCCAAACTAAATTCGTCCCCATCCCTACTTTTTTTAAAGACTCGTATAGAGTCAAATACACGTCTTTTAGGAGGCCAAATGTTAGTCCCTGATGCTGGACGTTAGGATGGCTCAAGTGTAAGTTTATTAACAAGCATTGTCTGAGGAACGTGTCATGTCGGCCAATCAAAATCAGATATTTTTGTTTGGGTCATGTAAAGGGTATTTCTTTCGAACACGAGTTTTTTTAAAATTTAGTGTAAGAATGTTTAAATTATTAATAAATTAAATAAAATGAAAACAAATAAAAAAACGTGTACTTTCATAATGCCAAATAATTATAATTATATATATATATATATATATGGGTTTATTAAAGGAGAAATGATTAGTTTGTGATAATTATAAGATATAATCTTAACCACAAATCAATGAATAAATTAAGAAATTAATATTTTTGATAATTTAACTTAAAATTATAATTAAAGAGCATTTTAGGTTTTTAAATTTTTTATCTCTCTCTCTCTCCTACCTTCGGGCTCCGACGAATACCATGTGATGCCCAAAATACATCAAGATACATAATGTGATACCCAAAATACATATAATGTTATACTCAAAACACACTAAGTAAACTTTGAGACCACTGTGATACCAATTGTAATACCATCGTGATACGAACTGTGGTATCACTGTCACATGTGGGTATTTGGTACCAGAGTGGTGGTGAGTGCCGAAGAAGGCACCGGATTTGGTCTCTGGGTGTTTATGTGTGTGTGTATATATATAAAATAATTAAAGTAAATTGAAATATTAAACTAATTAAAGTAAAATGAGTAATCAATACAATTTACTAATTTACCCTTTGTTTTATTTTAGTAAATAACATTAATTATTAGCTCATATTGGACCTCACAGTTACCATAAACTATTTTAGTTCTTATTTGATTAGACTATATATATATATATATATATATATATATAGTTTAGAAAGAACTGATTAGTTTGTGGTACGTGAGATCCAATGTGAACCACTCGTTTGATATATTTAAAGATATTTTCTTAAATAAATTAAAATAGTAATTCTAGTTTTGATAACTAATTAAAATATTTAATTAATTTTTTTAGAAGGAAATATTTAATTAAAATTAGTTACCTAATATATCAATTACCTAATGTACATCGTATTTTAAAGACTTTTGTGAACCAAAGTGTATCATAGTGATTAAGTTCACAATGTTTCACGTGTAAAACAATGTATTTTATTTGTTTTATGAAATGTATCATAATATGCATTCTCATTATTTTCATTGCTTTACAAAGAGTATCATATTGTGCATCTTGTATGTATAGATATCTTGTATGTATATATGTGTATCAGAATGAATATCGTTTGTAGGTATCACAGTATATATCTTGTGTATCACATAAGGTTCATTAGACTAAGATTCGCCGGAGAGAGGAAAGAGTAGAGATGATAGGTGATATTTATAAAATCCCTAAAATGTCCTTAATTAATATTTTAAGTTAAAATTACCATAATTATTAATTTCCTAATTTAACTTTTAATTTGTAATTGAGATCAGATCTCATAACTATTATAAACAAAACAGTTCTCATTTTATTAATATATATATATATATATATATAAAATATTTGCCTTTCTTAGAATAATAAATAATAAATAATATATTTTAATAAAAGAAAATGTTCTGCTTTCTGCTGCTATTAAATTATATTATTGCCCCCACATTTTCCATATATATATTTCTTACAAATATTTTATATACCAAAATGGATATAATTATTAAATTCAGTTGTGTTTTTTTATCGACTTACTTTAACAAATATATTTAATAATTAATTTCACTTTACTTAAATCTATTTTAATTGAAATACATAACATTTTTTTAATACTAAAAAGATACTCGTGCAATGCAACGAAATACATTTTTATTTTAATGTTTCATTTTATTTTTTTATCTCTGTTGATACATAATACTGTTTATGTCGTTTTGATAAAGATAATGCTTTTACTTTTGAATAAAAATAAATTTAAAGAAATATCATAAATTTTTTAAGTAACATGCATCAATAAACAATACTTCATACATAAAGAATAAATACGTAATAATTAAATTGGAACTGTTTTAGATGAGTC